AAATAAACAATATATTAACATCGAAAGACCAGAAATTATCAAACTATATAATAAATCCATGTTAGGAGTGGACAAACACGACCAACTGATGAGTTATTACCACGTGTACATGAAATCTCGAAAATGGACGCTGCGTATGATAACTCATGCTTTTGATATGGCTGTGGCAAATTCTTGGCTCGAATACAAACAGGACGCAGAAAATATGGGAATATTAAAAAAAGATCAAAAAGATTTGTTGCATTTCAAAACCACTTTGGCTGAAGAGCTAGTGATGGTTGGACGATTCAGCCCCGGAAAAAAAGGGGTCGTCCAACATCTTCACCATCCAGTAGTACAAGATCTGCAGAATGTCGTTCATCTACACCTGCCAAAACATTGTCAAAAGCATTGGAGTTTCGACCAACGGAAGGTGTAAGCAAAGATCTTTTTGGACATTTTCCCGCTTATGATGATAAAAAAGAAGCAACACGGTGCAAAAATAAAAAATGTACAGGTAAAACACATATGTGTGTGTAATAAATGTAAAATTCATTTGTTTTTTACACAAAAAAAAAATTGTTTTTATGACTTCCATTGTAATTAATTTTAATCTCATTTAAGTCTTTTATAAACTAAAAGTTAATATAATATTATCTAAGTAAATAAGTTGTATTTTTTTATGAAATAATGAAGCAAAATAAAAGTTTTATGTTTTTTTTTACATATGGCGTTATTGTATTATTTTATACCGTAAATTCCAATGTCCATTCCAATGGACATACCTGTAACTTTTTAGCAATAAAAAAAAAAAAAATTTGTACTTTATATTGAAAGGCCATAAAGTTTCAGATATGAAATGGGACATTTTTTATGGAACTTGGCATTTAGTTTTTAATAAATGCATAACCTGTCATTGTGTCATCAATGTTAATTTGTTTGTGTTATAGGTGTACGGTAATATAACTATTTATGGCGGTGGTGGTTGCGGTCGCGGTCGTGGTGGTGACAGTGGTCGTGGTGGTTGCCGCGGTCGTGGTGAAGGCGAAGGCGATGGTGATGATGTGCCGGTACCACCTGCAAAAAAGTTTACAGGAAGTAAGTGTCAAATATAAGTTAACTAAAATTATGTTTTTAACTAAATTTTTTTTTTTCAGAATGTGACCTGTGCCGTTAAAAGGGGCACAAAGTGATACAGTGCCCAAAATTCTGTAAGTTTCCACACTGCAATACATATGTATTTCCTTTATAATGTAAAATTAATTAATTTTATAATATTTCAGTATCCATAATCTTGCAGCCAATCGGCGTTTTCTGTCTCTAGAAGCTTGTGTCAGGACCTAACCATTTATTCAACACACCGCCACACAATATACCATCAACTATCGGAAGACAATCGTAAGTTCTGTGTCACCGATTCCCACCCTTTTTATGTAACCCCTATTAAATTAATATTGGTTGTAAACTCTTTGAGTATAAAACTTGTTATAAAGAAAATATAGTAAAACGGATGAGTTCAATTGTTGTATAATTTATGTATGAATAAAGAATTTAACCTGTGCAACAATGCAACATTGTGGTTCATTACACAATGGATGCAGTATAAATAAAAACAAATTAAAAAAAATAAAAAGCGTACAACAAAATTATATTATCAATAATATTAAATTATAATAGTACAACATTTTATAGTAAAATTGCCTAACCTAACCTACTCTTCAAACTAAAAAAGTTTCTCCCAGCACCATATTTCCTATTTATAAAATCTTATCTATCCGGCCGCTCCTTTAAAGTTCGTCTTAAAAGTAGCTACTCAACCAGCTATAGTATTAGCGCGGGTGTCCCCCAAGGAATTGACACAGCCCATTTTCTTTATTCTGTATATATTGTTTTTCTTTACTCGCGATATCCCCAAAACACCTTACACTTTCCTTGGTTCATATGCCGATGACACACTAATTTCAGCGTCACACAAGGATTCCGCTACTGCTTATCAGATGATCCAAAGTCAACTTAATATGATCAACCTTTGGACAAAACGGCGGAAAATAAAAATAAATGAAAATAAGTCTACTCGTGTAAATTTTACAATGCGAAAAATCTGTTTGCCCTCCTGTCACGTTTAACAACAAAGTAATTCCCTCGTCAGACGAAGTAAAGTGCGTATTATTAATATTCGACAAACGCCTTAACTGGAACTCGCATCTTAAACAAAAACGTAAATCAGTGAACTCTAGACTGTATCTTCTGAGACCTCTATTAAAATCAAAACTTTCTCTAGCCAACAAACTAACAATATACAAATCAATAATTTGTCCAACTTGGCTTTACGGCATCAAACTATGGGGGCCAGCAAAACCATCTAACACTAAAACCTTGCAAGCATTCCAATCCATATGTTTACGCCTAATAACCGCTGTCCTATGGTATGTTAACAACAAAAACCTCCACAAAGACCTGAACATACCAACCCTCAACGACTTAGAAAAATCCTAAAAAAATTAAAACCCAAATTTCTGGTCAGGTGGCACTACTGGGAGCCTTCCTTTTCTGTTATTAATGTTATTTTGTTATTATGTCATCACACTTACTGATTATACCATTGTATAGATTGTAAATACACTAAAATAAAAATATTTACATTTTCATAAAACCATGGAATTTTATATTCTGAGTGGCCAATGAATATATTGACTTACTTTATGAAATTATTTAAACATCGAATAAATGTGTGATTACAGGGTAATTGAATCCAAGTGATTGTGTTTCCCACCACCACGAGTGATTGATTGCATGCATTTCTCACCAACACGGGTGATTGCAGGGAGATTGCATGAGTATAATTTACAAGTTTCCCACTATCTCCTTGCTGGAAATATGTTAAGAAATTGTGAATAATATTATTAAACACAAATACGCGTCTACACGGTGGGCACCACTACGTTACCAGGTATATGCCAATTTTTACGGTTCCTATTTATATAAAAATCTATCAACGCTAGATACAACCACGCTATCGGCTTGAAATTTTGCACAGTTGATTCCAAATATTGTGATCTAACATTCCTGATAGTGTCATGTAAAAATATCAAAAACCCTGTATTCACTGAGCTGACGGCTGTGAGTCGGCCGTGTAACTTGCAATCACCCGGAAACTGTACAAATTTCGGTTTAAAATGTTAATTAAAGACCAAATAATAGCACTACCGATTTGAAACCTTCACTGGAACATTGCAAATGTCCCTGGCTATCATCCCTGCTAGTTTAAATGAAATTGATTATAATAAAAATATCGTTAATATTAAAGAAATTAATTTGGCAATATGAACAACCCCTAAACGAAAATCAAATGTTTTATTTACTAAATATTTTTTTGCTCCAGAAAAAAGATTTGAATCTATATAAATTTGTAACACACCAGACGAAATTGGTCATAATAAGAATACCGTTTCTATTAAAGCAAATAATATCGATGAGGAAATGTTTATCACCAATAAGCGGAAATCAGTTATTGTCTTTACTGGGAAATTGTTTTCTTCTGGAAAGAGGTCTAAATCAATAGAAATAAGTAATACACCATAAGCAGATTTGAATAAATTACCAAAAAACTAAAAAATGGGCGGAATACAGATAGTCATACACAATAAGACAATGATTATGAATCGGTTAATGAATTTTATATACAGTTTGACACTTCTTTACTAATCAAGGATAATGGATGTTATGAAACAGAAGTAATTAATGTCACTAAAAAAAAGTTAACCACCCCTACATGTAAATTAAATATTTCCTCTGGAGATGACTTGTATACCTCAGAAAAGATGTATGACTCTATAATTGTTTGTAACACGCCAGAAGACATTGGCCACAATAACAAAACGGTTTCTATTAAAGCAATTAATGTCAACGAGGAAATCTTAACCACCAATAAGCGTAGATTAAATGTTTCATTTACTGGAGATTTGTTTACCCCAGAAAACAGGTTTAAATTTATATTTGTGTGCAATACACCAGATGCAGATCTGAAAGCGTTGCCAATGGACTCAAAGAATATATATCCCTTAAAAGTAAGGTCATTTAATGACGGCACTAAAATGAAAAAGGTTGTGTTACAAAAAGTGTAATTTTTTGTAGAACTATTAGCTTACTTGATGAAGAATTTAAGCACATTGTTGATAACTCAATGGAAAAATATAATGTCATTTCAAATGAAATAAACGATTTGTTACGTAAAAAATACGAAACTGTAAATATCTTTTGTGTATTGACTATCAAGAATAAAAATATTACCAAGAAAGGTTGAAAATGTTATGGTATATGTCGACATGAATCTTGTAAGCAGTTTAAACTTGTGGTGGAGAAAAAAATCAAATGATAGTGTGGCACAAATAACAGTTCGGAGTAACAGACACCATGGTAAACTGACCACATTCTTGAAAGGAAAAAATCGACAAATACAAAAACAAATGTCAAAGTATTGTCCACCAATGAGTTAAACACAAAAATATTTTTAAAAGCCTCACTTAGTAAACTTAAGGGTGGTAACTTGTGTACCATCAGGTCTGACCACGTTATTATGAGGTGTGATGATCGAGCGCTGGCGACAGGGTCGATATGTAATTATTGAAAGATAAATATTCAGAATTTATTCAGTACGTTTCCGATCTAAAGAAGAAAGATTTTGAAATTTATTTGTTTAGTCAAGATCAAGTTGTTATAAGAAAAACAAAATGCGTTACAATTCATGTCGATGCGACTGGCAGGGTGGTGAGAGAAACTACAAGAGATCCAACGCTATTCAAAACAGGAAAAAAAAAAGAAAAATAACTAATGTATTATGCAGCTGTCACCGTGTGCAATAAGAGGATAATTCCAATAGCAGAATATCTGTAGACTTCACAAACTGCTAGCGCGATAACAAATCGGATGTTGGAGTTTTTTCAACTTGGTAAATGGTAATCGTACTTGAATAAAGTACCATTAGTTTTATTTTATTTAGAATTTTTCAACACGTTTTAAAGTAAAAAAGTAGGTATTATTCACGTAGGTTTGATTTATCAATGAAATCGATTTTATGATTTTCAACAAGATTCATACAATTTTGATATTGTGTTAAATTTTAATATATAGCGATAAAATAAGGTAATAAAATAATACAAGTTTACAAGCAATATAAGAGTTTAATAAGTAACTACTGGTGATTAAAAATAATTAATTTAGTAAGTAAACGTCGTTTACTGACATTACAAATTGTTTTTAAATTAGACAAGTGATGTAATCTAATTTTTAAATATTGTTTAGAAATTAAGGTTACCAAATATAATCTATGGTTTTCTAAAAAACCATCATTGTCACAATTTAGATCTTTAAAAATATTACTACTATATACATGATTTTTTACAGCAAGAATAATTTTGTTACTTAAACCTGGTATATTTAATGAACTAAGACCTAAAGTAAATTGAATTAAAGTATTTTCAATAAATCTAACTATTTTAATTACATTAATTGAACTTTTAATCAACCCTCATCTATTTTTGACATTAACTAATATAGAGTGAGAATATTTATGGTTATAATTGTGTTCAGATAATGTTTCCAACATACTATTAGCACATGTTTGACAATCAACTTTTTTTAACAAACATCTAACAATAAACCCAGAAATATAATACAAAATGTTGTCTTTAACAATATCAAATGTATTGTTCATACTGGGGAATAAATCTGGTATTTCTTCCTCTTCTTCCAAACTTTCAACTTTTTTCTTTGCCCAACGTATTTCAAACACGATTTCTGTGCCCGTGTTGTCCAAAGCTATACAATTAGCAGCATATGATGATGTTATGGAGTTCTTCAGCAGGATTTGTTTCATAGCAGTTTTTAATTCAAGGGCATTTGGATAGTTATTATTTCCAAAACGTTGTCTGATTTTTGAAAAAAACATTTCCAGATGGTCTTGGGAAAATTTGTAAGTTAAAATGTATTTATACTGGGTAATTTGAAAAATTTCATCTGCTAAGCTGAACATTGCTTTAACTGCTATTGCAAACCCTAAATATGTAAATTATAGTATCATTTTTTGGAAATTTCCTGAGCATTATGGAATTTAAAATAAATACATTTTTAATATATTACTTACCAATAATAAAGGTTTTACGTGGAGTCAGATAAATTGGTACTCCCTTGATATCTGTAAGGTTGAGTAAATACTCCACTAAAGGTATCATTATACACTGCATTCTTTTCACATCATCTTTATATAATGGTTTTTTAAAACCTTTTCCATAG